GAAATAATAAAACGTACATATTTCTACATGTTCCTGTTTATATTTTGAATATTGTTTAAACTTGACGCTTTTATAAGGGTGACATGTAGAGACCGGCATGTATTAACTGAATTCCAGTTGAGAATAGGGCTCTGCGAAGATGAGCTCCAGCGCTGAGGATGTCTGTTCTGCGTCAACTCAATTTGGCCTAAACCTAGCAAGTATGATTGGGCATTGACGGCAAACGTGATAATAGCTCGTTCTAAAGTCTTACGCATAAAATGAGGGTTCGACTGTCCCCAACAAAGAGGGGCAGGGCTCTTATGGAACCTCCTGTTTTAACGTTCCTGGAGTTGGCGCCTCTTTCGACAGCCTTTCTCCACGCCCCATTGTTTCCCCCTGCCCCTGTCCCCACCCTATTCCACCTCATCGACGTCTTGGTCACTCTCGCGCCAGTCGTAGAGACTCCGACGAGATGAAGAAGATTTGGCAAAAAGGGCAAGTGTAAAACGCATGCTTACTCTTCAGCTCCATCAACTCTTCTGGACGAGACTGAGCGAAAAACAGGCCATTCGGTGTTGCCAACGAGATGAGAGTAGCCGAGCGCGTCTGTGGCGTGTCAGCTCGACTCATCAGCCCGGCCGGTGACATTTGTCGCTTGGGCAGCGTGAACCCGCCGAGTGCGTCGCCAAGGCGTCCGTGCTCCAGAAAGAATCCCAGTGAAGCCTCATTCTTGGCGTTTGTCGTCATGGCCTCGGCGTCTGCCTCACTCTCGGTCGGTGCCGAGGCGGCGCTCAGCCTCCCCGACGGCTCCTTCTCCTGTCGCCGGCGCAGGTAGACAATGAGGATGAGCATGAACAACGAGAGAGTGACCGAGATACAGACGAGCGTGACGATGCCGTACAGCGTGAGGTCGTTGGAGGCCGGCGTCTGATTGTGCTCCACTTCCGAGTCGCCGGCCGGTCGGGCGGCCGCGGCCGCGGCCTCGGAGCGTCGACGTGTCTGGAAGCCCGGCAACAGGTGGCCGGTTGACGACAATGAGTCGTCGCGCCGTCGAGCGCTTCTGCCCGACATGCCCGGCCCTGCACGCGGCGCGACGGCGCCCAGCGTCTTCATTGGCT